AAAAAACAAACAAATAAAAGTGATAAAAAGTCAGACTAGGTTCACAACATGCACAGTCGTCAGACCTGTGTCTGGCATGGCCTAAAAAAAAAAAAAAAAAAAAAAATGCCCGGAAGTGTATGGGGGGAAAAAAAACACCCGCTGTCACATTTTATTAACCAATCTCAGTCTGGAAGTTGCCCTGAACATTGACAGGTTTCTTGACTAAGTTCATTATCAATGCATGCAGGTAGGCACTGTTTCATTGTCCACAACAAACATGTACTCGTCTAGCTTGGAGATTTCAGCCTGACTCAAATCAATCCCTAGACAAGATGCCCTACCTATGAACACAACACCAACCCCATTACCCCCATTTCTTCCGCTTCTCTAATAAATCGACCCCGTTCAGTGAATCAGATCATACACCTACTTTTCCAAAAACAGCTCAAGCCTTTTCGCCCCCACGAAATCGCTGCTTGGTCGCTACGACCACGTATTTGCAGAAAATAGTAAAATACTCCGAGTGTCTGATTTTGGTCGGAATAGTTGCCAGGTGCAACCCACCCCTAATGTTTTCCGCTCTGAACGCAGCAGCTGTACATAAGCCTGATTTTTTTTATTTTTTATTTCCAGCGGTCATTCAACTGCAGACCTGAAATTCACTGCCTTCCCCTCCTTCTCCACCCCCCCCCCCCCCCCCCCCTTAAAAAAAAAAAAGAAAAAAAATCACTGCCTCTCACGTCCTCTTTTGGTAAACCCCACCATCCCTTTTCATTCCCCATCGGGAAGTACTGTTCAAACCAAAAATGGAAACCTTACAGACTCTGCCTTAGGGCCTCAGTCCACTACTCACCATTCTACATGCATTTGGACGTGTTTCTAGAACACGTGCATTCACAGAATTCCAACATTTGGAATGTATCCGGAAAATTCCAAGTGCCAGATACTTAACAGAGTGTTGCTTAGTGGTGCGTGGTCCTTTGATGCAATTTGACGAGTAACCAAAAGTGAAGGAGAAGAATGTGAAGGGT